CGTGCTCTCGAGAATGTCAATTCAGAGATTCAGATTCATTTAAATAACGTTGGAACGCAATAACGTCCGCATTTGCTCCGAGCAATAAATCGTATTTCAACGGCAATAATTTCTGTCATCTTATCCGAACAATGCGAGCTATCAATATTATAAACCACGGACCATTATCGGCCTTCAACCGGCGCGGCGCGGCGCGGCGACCGTCTATCGTCGTCATGCCGAGTCACAAGATTCAATTTGCCCGGCCGGTCGCCGCGCTCCGATAATCGTCCTCTGATCCTCTGACACTCACTCACGGCATGTAAACATCAATCGCGCGTGCACTCACCACAAACGTTGAGCCAGCCCTCGACGCGGCAGGGATACTCCAGCTTCATCTTCGTCCCCCGTGTGCGGATAACGCGCGAAAATCCAGGTCGCGGTGACGCTCGACTCCCTCGGCGCACAGCAGGTCAGGCACTGATCACACAAATCTTCCCCCTCCCCCTCCCCCGTCCGATTATCACTGGGAAACGATACCGTCGCCGAACGATACCGTCGCGGCACACATTCTTCCGCGACGCGGTTATTGTACGCGGAACACGCGGCCTCTTTCTCCCTCTCCCTTTCTGGTCACGCGTTCGGAGTTTCGGAGGGCTCGACACGAGTGCGGAGGGTGACACGCGAAGGAACGAACGTAGCGACGTGTCGTGACACGGAGACACCGTAACGGGCACGGAGGGACGACGCGAGGGTGGTCTCTAATCTCTATCCCGCGAAGAACGTAGCGAAGATAAGTAGCGGCTACACACCGCGAGGTCCGCGAGGGCACACTCACTTCAGACAGACGCGCGCGCGCGCAAACGCGAAACACACGCGACGGCGAGCGAATTCGAACTGAGTCGAGTGAGCGGCGCGCGGCGCGGGCCGGCGCGGCGTCGGATCTCGCGGTGACCGCGGTGTGCGGCTGTGCGCCGGAGGCTCCCCCCGCGACACCCCGCGAAAGCCTCTCCCTCCCTCTCGCGTTCTCCTTCTCTCTCACCCTTTCTCTCGCTCGCTCGTGCTCCGTTTCCCACCCGCGCCGATCGTTCTCGCTTGCTCCTTTCGCTCTCGTTGTCAGGTGGCCGGCCCGTTCCCGCCGCCGCCGCCGCGCCGCTCGGCTTTATGTCTTTTCTCTCGCGTGCGCGTCGCGCGTAATCACCGCCGACCGGATGTCACTCGACAAATCGGCCACTTTGATCGTTTGATCCTCGATGCTTCGATACCGCGCGATGTGTCTGTCGCGTCCACGCACTCCACGCTGAAGCTCGATACCTGGCCGGTCGTCAATTGTGAAAATGTATGCACGCGATATCCGCGACTATCGCTGCTCCGCGGAGTAGCGATAAACGGCAATAAGACGAAGTTATTGCGAACGACACTGCGCGACGTGCGGCGATACTGACCGGCGATGTTTGAACGGCCTGAACGGTTCTTCGATTGGACGTCTCGATACTACGCGATACGCGTTCAGTATCGAGACGTCGTTACTGCTGTGCTCAAGCGCAAAATTAATGATTGATTTATATCCATTTCTACCAATGTGGATTAACTTTATATAATTTCGGTTTAACTTACTTTTTTATCTGTTTCTAATTTTCAAAACTAGAAAAAGACAAAAAGTAAGTTAAACCGAGATTAAAGTTATAATCTGCATTGATAGAAATGGACATTAGTGATCTTACTTGAGCACGATTATATATAAATAATGGAGGATTCACATTGCGTCCGATGTTCGACGTACGGCGATCCGACATCCAATAACAGAATTTATTATTAGAGACAAAAATTTCTTATTGGATGTAGGAACGTCGTACGTCGAACATCGGACGCAGTGTGAATCCTCCATAATAATACGTGATATTTTTGTTAAGATAATTCGTTATTAATTTTATAAGGCTAATTTTTCCGTTTGCTGCAAATATATGTAGGTATTACAATTATACACGAGTCTATACTGAAGTTGTTTCTTTCCTAATTGAAGAAGCACGCGATTTTAAATTTAACTGCAATTATCGCGCAACTTGTAACGTTCTGCGACTGCGCATTCGTGGAATCGTCGCGAAAAAATTCGCGCATCTTAATTGTAATATAATATAAATTTTTTTTGCACACACACCCTCAAATGCTCAGCGTGAGAATTTTTAAAGACTCAGAAATAATTAGAGATATTTAAATCGCGAATCATGAACATCTGAGCTGAGATGTCTACATTAAAAAGTTAATTATCGTGTGCTTGGCTTCGAATTAGTAGTTCGAAAAACATTCGAATCTAAAGCAGAACAATGTCGCAAAAAGATTGTCGTGACGAAAAACGTAAACTTTAAATCTCACATCCCGTTTCTCGTGATTTTCGAACGATCGTGTTTTTCTAAGCTTCGCGCATAATCTCCTGCAACTTATTAGACAATCGTCGAATTTCAATCTCGGTTCCGAGATTCTCATTCCCTTTTTAACCGCCGTGCCATTTTATACGAACGGTACTCGAAATAAAAAAAAATATATATCTTTAACAAATACTTTCAGAGCTAGAAGTTTTTCTTTTTTTAAAGAAAGACGAAAATTAGATAAAATATAATAGAAATTGATAATGTATAAGTGTTAAAATTTAAAATTAAAAAACCGATAATATCAATTAAGTAATAGATGATATTAACACTCTAACATTCTCATGTTGTATTATTTTCTAACTAATTTTTTGTTTTTCTTGTAAAAAAGGTAAAATTAATTTAGCTGTTTTGGAAAATA